AAATATATATTTTTAGCTAAATTATTTTAATTTTAATACAAACATATCATAATTTTTATTTATATCTATAAGAACAATTGATCCCCTTCTTCACCTTTCACAATCTCCAGTCTCCATACGTAATAAAGCGACGTCAATCTCATTCCTTGCATGTGCCGTCTGTCCCGGGCACTCTCAGTCACACTCATCCAAACACGCACTAAGAAATAATAAAACATAAAAATCTAAAATAAATAAATAAAAATTAAGACAGCGCTTTCCGCTTCTTTCTCATTTCCGTTGCAGCAAATCCGGAACACAGGGGGAAAACAAGGGCCGCTAACGATCTTCTCTTTCCTCCGCTCCTTCCGTCAACGCCGCCGACTTCGCATCTCTCGAGCCAATCCGGGACTTCCACGTGATGAAGTCCGCCACCAAATCCATAAGCCCTCTCGTCACCTTCGACCATAATAAGAGGTACGCCACCTTCTTTTCCCGCCACTTGTCCCTCCTCCGTTCTCCATCTGATCCATTGTTAGAATTTTACGATCGAATGCGCAGCTGACGTGGATCGTTGATTTCGGATCTTTGTAACTGACTCGTCGCTCTCGATTTGCCGCTACATACTTGGTTTGGAGTTAATTACTGTAATCGTTTAGGAACTCAATTTGAAATGCGGTTCGATCTTTTAGCATTTTGAGTTTGAATTAAGCTAATGATGATGAGCATTGTGGAGAGTAATGTTCAATTTCTGAGTAATCTGGTCTAGTTTTTGCTTGAAGTTATTGTTCTTATGGCTTCTTGTGCGATCGTTTGACGATCAATTTATCATTAGCGGTTTAATTTATGAATTGAGGAATATGTGGTTGAGGTGTTTGGATGTTCATGCCGATTGCCAGTGAATATAGATGGCTTTTAATTAAAATTCTATGGTCATGTTTAGTTGGTGTAATGGGTATTCCTTGATCAAACTATAAAAACAAAGGTTAGAAACAGCCACGCTGTAATGTTGATAATTAGACATTACCACCAACCAAGCAATCCCCATGGCTATGTTGGTTTAAGTTGATCCTCTGGTTAATTGTTTGAAATTTATTGTGCACTGTTGCCTTCTGTTAATTAGAATAGTTTGTTGAGTGAGGGGGATTAATTGACAATTTGTTTGAACAGGGATGCTTATGGGTTTGCTGTGAGACCTCAGCACGTTCAAAGATACAGACAATATGCCAATATCTACAAGGTTTTCTTTCTTTTCTTTTCTTTTCTTTTTTTTCCTCCTCCATTTTTACAGAATTTCATTTTTCAAGTTCATATGTTAGGGTGAATTACCAGTAACAAAGAAGAATGAAATCTGTCCACGGATGAGCGGAAGGAATAGCAAGAAACTTGATCAAAATAAGAAAATAAAGTTTTGTTGCACTTACGTGCCTATTGGTTCCTTTTTCCTCTATGCATTTTCTGGGCACTAAATTATGGAAATTTTATAATTCACAATTTCATTTTCCTTTTCTACATTTCTTTGCAACTAAATGGAGAACAAAATTTCTGAAACTAAATAAGAGATTCACATTGGTTCTTGTACGGTTATACCCATACTCTAGGAGGAAGAGGAGGAAAGATCAGATAGATGGAAGAGTTTCTTGGAATGCCAACCAGAGTTTGCTCAAGTTCATGACACCGCCATATATAAAACATCACTTACTGAAGTCTCTGAGGAAGGGGTGGAGGATGCAGTTCAGAAGGATAAGAGGGGTGGTTCAAGTGAAAAGAATTCTGGCTTTGATTTTTCACTCGAGAATGCTACTGAGAAAGAAGGGTTACAGTCTTCCTCAGAGAAAAGAAAGCATCAGTCCCAAATATGGGCTGATATTAGACCCTCCCTTCAGGCCATTGAAGATATGATGAGTATCCGTGTGAAGAATAAAGGCAATTTATCAAAAAATGAGCAAGAGGCTGGAAGAGGGAAGCCGTTACCTTCTACATATGATGCTAGATCTCTGAAGGGAGCGTCAGAAGTGGATTCAGAGGATGAATTTTATGATGTGGAGAGATCTGACCCAGTTCAAGATGCCTCTTCTAGTGACAGTGTGAGTTCTACAACAGCAGGTGCTGCTGTAGCTGCAGATGCAGCATATCAAGAATCTTTGACACCATGGAAAGAAGAGTTGGAAGTTCTTGTTCGTGGTGGAGTACCAATGGCTCTTAGGGGAGAGGTTTGTTTTTCAATTTTTAGCTATTCTTGCAACCTTTTATGATTTCCCAACCTCTCTCATAAACTTCACTTGTTGTGAATAAGCATTGTTTTGTGTTCCTCTTTCTGATTTAATGCTTGAAATTTCAGCTCTGGCAAGCCTTCGTGGGTGTCAAAGCTCGTCAAATGGAGAAATATTACCAGGATCTACTTGCTTCAGAAAGCAATTGTGGCAACAACATTGAACAGCGTAGCTCACAATCAGACAATAAAGGTTCAAGTAAAGAATCTGTATGTGGCCCCGAGAAATGGAAAGGGCAGATAGAGAAGGTAATTACATGCCTGATCTTTCAATTTGTTCTTTCTTCCTTTCTGATTGGCAACCTTTATTTACACCGTGCTTAATCTTTAAATACAGGATTTGCCCCGTACATTTCCAGGTCATCCTGCTCTTGATGATGATGGTAGAAATGCTTTGAGACGGTTATTGACAGCTTATGCTCGACATAATCCCTCTGTTGGGTATTGTCAGGTATTGAGTTCTGACATGTTGCAGTGTTCTAGTTATACTGATTGGAAAAATGGAGAAAGAACACTACAAAAGCTTCTTGTTCTTATATACTTTTTGGTCTCTATCCTTATGCAGGCAATGAATTTCTTTGCTGCTTTATTGCTACTTCTGATGCCTGAAGAAAATGCATTCTGGTAGGTGTGCGTACTTAGTCCTGTCATTCCTTCATAATCAGATACACGTGCCCTCTATGTAGAAGGCCTGATCAGAGTATAATCTTTTTATGGAACACAGTCAATTACCATTATGTTTAAATTTTGCATATTTGTTCTGTTAATGTTTTTGTCTCCTATTTTAAATTCTCTATTTAAATTGTGAGCATGACATTAATGTTTTCAATAACAACTGCTGTAGTTTATGTGCTTCTAAGCTGTTTAAATTCTCAGGACATTGATGGGTATTCTTGATGACTATTTTGATGGCTATTACTCTGAGGAAATGATTGAGTCTCAGGTAAGTTTCCTTTTGATGTTACCATGCACATGTTAATCGAGTTTGCAATCTTCTAAGTAGAGACACCAAAAAGCAATTGAGGAAATAACTGCACCCTGATGAAGATGCTGATACCTTCTTTCTTTTTGCCAGGTTGACCAACTTGTTTTTGAGGAGTTGGTACATGAGAGATTTCCTAAACTGGGTTTGTCATTTGTTTTATTAGTTGTTTTTCTTCCATTTTCCATGGTGTTCATATTCTACAAAACATTTCAGATAGTTTTTGATGTCATGATTACTTCTGCTGCAGCGAATCATCTAGATTACCTGGGAGTGCAGGTGGCATGGGTTACTGGACCATGGTTCCTTTCCATTTTCATAAACATGCTTCCATGGGAAAGTGGTCAGGTTTTGTGCTGTATCTTGTAGAATTTTAAACTTAGTCTTACATGAAAGCTATTATATATTTTAATTATTTCTTCTAAAATTGGTATCTAATTTTCTATTCTGACCACTTCCTTTACACTGCAGTTCTTCGAGTCTGGGATGTGCTCCTGTTTGAGGGAAATCGTGTTATGCTTTGTAAAACAGCTCTTGCTTTGATGGAATTATATGGTACTGGGTAAAAAAGGCATAGTTGTTTTATTTGCATCTTGTTAATGTTATGTGGGTACTTAAACTAGAAAATGGTACCATATAAGCATTTAATTTCGCAAAACTTAACTCAGCTCAGTTTCTTGTAGGCCCTGCACTAGTTACAACTAAAGATGCTGGAGATGCAGTTACTTTGCTACAGTCATTGGCTGGCTCAACTTTTGACAGCAGTCAACTTGCATTAACAGCCTGCATGGGCTACCAAAGTGTAAATGAAAAAAGGTTACAGGAGTTGAGAGATAAGCATAGGCCAGCCATATTGGCTGCTGTTGAGGAAAGATCAAAGGGACTTCAAGCTTGGAGGGATGCTCAGGGCTTGGCATCTAAGCTGTATAACTTTAAGCATGATCCTAAGTCTGTGCTGATGGAAAGAAATAAGACAGAACAAAATGGGGAGTTATCCAGCTCAGAGTCTGGATCAACAAATGCAGATGATGTTCTTATTAGTTTGACAGGAGATGCTGATATAGATTCTGTTCCAGATCTTCAAGAACAGGTAACGTCTACCATTTCCATATCAATATAAAAATTCTTATGCAATATATGATGAAGTTACTAAGGTGCAGATATGTAAATACAAGCTGCTAGATTCTGCTGAATAGAATTGTTTTTACTAAGTAGATATATGGATGGATGAGTAATAGGTTCAGTATGTTTTTAATGTATTATGGGCTTCAGATAGTTTGCCTACCCTCATGGCAAACTAGAATGTTAATTTCACTCCCTTCAGTTGGAGTTGTAATGTAATTGTAAGTTAAAGCAGTTTGATATGTGACGCTATGTGTTCCTGATGTATGAAAATGAAATACATGTAGGTCATGTGGTTGAAGGTTGAATTATGCAGGTTGCTGGAGGAAAAAAGATCTGCTGCCCTCAGGTTAGTAATTTCAAATGGGCTTTATAATTTTAAAATTTTATTCTTTTTATCTGTTTTCTTTCTTCCCTGGCCTATCCCCCTGATCAATGAAGCAATTTTGACCTTGCATGTTCCTATTTTCTGTCAGAGCTGAAGAGTTGGAGACAGCTTTGATGGAGATGGTTAAACAGGATAATAGACGACAATTAAGTGCTAGGGTAATTTGGAAATGTTCATTGATTACAGTTTGCTTAATAGAAAATATAGTTCTTGTGCTTTGGATACAGAATCTATAAGTAGCAAATCAAATTCTACAAGGAACATACTGCATCCTGAATATCTAGTTATGGTCTTTAGGTGGAGCAATTGGAGCAAGAGGTTGCTGACCTTCGCAAGGCACTTTCTGAGAAGGAAGAACAAGAAAATGCAATGCTTCAGGTTTCTTCATTTTTACCCACCATATGCATTTTGTGGAAGACTGTCACACCTTATTGTGATGGACATGCCTTGTTGATTATGAGGCCTTGGGCTGATTTTATAGGTCCTCATGAGGGTTGAGCAAGAGCAAAGAGTGACGGAAGATGCTCGCAGATTTGCTGAGCAAGATGCTGCTGCCCAGAGATATGCTGCTCAAGTGCTTCAGGTATTCTTCATACCAAAGACTTTTATTTTGCTATGTAAATAATGATCAGCTATGAATGATTGTATACTGCTTTTGCAATTTTGCTGGTAGCAAAATTTTCTCAGTGTTCTCAAGATGAAAGATTTTTGGATAATGGAATGGACTGTAGGTATGTAAGGAGTTGGTTCAGGGGAGAGCTGAAAAAAAAGAAAAGAAAAGTGTGTTTAAGCTTTCTATATTTTTCTCAAGAATAAAGATTTAAAGAATTGATTTAAGGTAGAGATGGTAATCGGGTTCTGTGGGAGAGGATAATGGAACTACATACATAAATTTTCTAGTTATTGCTGTTTCATTCATTTGTTGTATCTTCTGCTCTTGTATGTTAATATGCAAGTAAATTCAGGAAAAGTATGAAGAGGCCATTGTTAAACTTGGTGAGATGGAGAAAAGACTAGTAATTGCAGAATCAACGTTGGAGGCTACTTTACAGTACCAATCTGTTCAAGCCAAAGCACAACCTTCTGCACGGTAACCAAATAGTTATGGTTTTTTTAATACATTTATTAAAGATATGTAGAAGGTTTATAGGAGAAGGACTTGAGAGCTCGGTTTCTGCATTCTCATGACGAATTCATATTACTAGATCATCGAACCCAGATTCACCAGCAAGAAACTTTCAAGAGTCCACACAAGATGTGCCTGCAAGAAAGATTAGTTTACTTTCCCGGCCCTTTGGTCTTGGCTGGCGTGACAAAAACAAGGTTAGTTTTCAAACATATCCTTACTAATTTCTAGGCAATTGGTTGATTGTTTCGTCCTTTCTTTCACAACAATAAAATATCAACGCTGTGTTCAACTAATATCGCTACCTAAAATTTATTGAACACAGTAGGGAAAACCGACTGGAGTTGATGGACCTAATGATGATGGGAAGCCATTTAATTAGGGACAGTGGAGACACCGATCAGAAAGACTTAATCGGCCAGGGGAGCCCTTAAACAATAAACAAAGTCCAGATACCATGCAGAAAGGGATGAATGGCAAGGGCACGAACCGTATTGAGGAATAATATAAGCAGTAACAGAATTGGTGGTTTTCATCGTATCACTTCTCATGCAAATCCTTTCATCATTTCTTATATCCATAGACTCTCACTAGATATTCTTTTTCATTGTCATTGCCATTGCCAATTTAGTTAGTGTAATTGAGTTTGCCGGTCTGTAATTTTTGATCGGTAAACAGATATATAACACATATCAATATATTGGTTTGTTCTTTTGTTAGTAATAAATAATAAGTTTATCAAAAATGTGTCTATGCATTAATTATATTTTTTTAATTTATATAAAAAAAATAAAAATTAATTTTTTATTTTCAACACTAATGACACATGATTTCAATTAAGTGATAATTTTTATTTTTTTTTATAATAATTAATGACCAAATAAGATAAAATTAATGCAAAGCCCATAAACAACATACTAGTTGAAGACTTGAAGTGAAGCAAACCTAAGGAGGGGGATAAAATAGCGAATCATCTGTATAATATTTTCTTTTGTACCGTGCTTCATCCTTAAGCTTAAATCATAATTTCCCTAGAAAAGAAAATTCCCATATGGTACCTCTTTTTTTAGGACTCGACTGACATCTTTAAGTCTCAAAATTCATGAACTGAACATGAGACATAAAATTGCTTGGTTAAGACTAACTAGAGTAGGAGAGTGCAGTTGTTCTGTAACTGTGTAGAGAAACAGTTTCTATATCAAAGGCATTTCAGATACAAAACGTCAATCTCAATTGTACAAAAAAGAAAAAAAAGAAAAAAAGGACAAAATGAAGAAAAGATGGAGGGGCAAGAGGCTTAAAAAAACAAACCCATACAACCTGTAGCAAAATTTGACAAGCCGTAGCACTGAACTTCAGGGACATACAATCCTCTTGAAGATTTCAAGGTGTTCCACAGCTAGCAGGCTGATCCATCGTGGACTGATAAGGGACTTGAACTCTTTTTGATAACTCTCTCTGCTGGGGCTCTCTCAACATCACTGTTCTTTTCATCTTCTTGGAGTGGAACACCTGGAACTGGTACGATAGCCTTGGTTTGACTGAGCTTCAGGCTCATACTTTTGAGTAGCAAGATAAGTGAGGGCAGTCACCACGTCAGCTATGAGTGGCCGCATATTAGGCTGCTCCTGAACACACATGGCAGCCACGGCAAGAGCTTGGTATAAGCCCCTTATTGGGTATTGGCCTTGAAGCAGCGGATCAGCCATTTGTGCAAATTTCCTTCTATCTTTAAACAAGGGTCGTGCCTGTAATGTGGAGACAATGTCACAAATAACTAATCCAGATCACAAACTCAACCAGAACTGGACAAGAAATAGCTTGCTTACCCATGCAACCAAATTTTGCTCCCCACCAGCTCTAGAATTGTCAATAGCTTTTCTACCGGTGATCATCTCCAAAAGAACAACCCCAAAGCTATAAACATCTGATTTCAATGTAAGCTGACCAGTCATTGCATATTCCGGTGCACAGTATCCATAGGTTCCCATCACTCTAGTGGATACATGTGTCTTGTCTCCAACAGGACCCAATTTGGCCAGGCCAAAATCAGATAGCTTCGGATGAAAGCCTTCACCAAGTAAAATGTTGGAACACTTCAAATCACGATATATGACAGGTGGGTTAGCTTTGTCATGCAAATATTCCAAGCCCTTTGCAGCACCTGCAGCTATTTTCATTCTTGTATGCCAATCGAGTTGCCTTTTATCAGGTGGCAAGTCTAGAGAGAAAAGCAAGGAACAAGAAAGATCAATAAACTATGCTATGAATGAAAACATGGCCATATAGGAAAATCCTCAAAGAGGAAATTTAGCACCTGAGACAATAATTAAGCATTGGTTGTTATAACCAGAATAATTAAAACAAATCACTTTTGATGGTGTGGTAAAAAACCACCAAGGTCTAGGACACAGGAATGGAGACAAGTAATTATCTACATACCATGTAGATGGTCTTCCAAGGATCCCAAAGGCATATATTCATATACCAAAAGTCTCTGATCTCCATCAGCACAATAACCAATTAGGTTGACAAGATTAGAGTGGTGAAGCAGGCTCAACATTAATACTTCAACAAGGAATTCCCTGTTCCCTTGTAGCCCATTACGATCAAGTTGCTTGATTGCCACAACCTACAGAAAAAAAATGGTAAAGTATAGGTCATGCAGGAAACCGCTACACATGTCAAAACCCTTAGAACAAATGAGATTGGATGGCAATACTAAAAAAATAACTAAACAATACATTGAGCTCAACAATAGGCAGAGTAAAAGAACAATAGAATTTGGTCCCTATCCTTAATTTAAAGTATAAGTGGCTATGGCAACCAAGTTTTATAATTCATTCAGTCATTGACTCATTATTAACACTCAATTATCATTAGCAAATAACAACTTCAAGATCATCTGTACAGCTTAAATGTATAGATTCATCTATCTGAATAAAAATAACAACTTTCAAAATCTATAGAATCAATGCTAGCAAAGAAACCTAGAGCTCATATGTTTTTATCTATTTGAATTTTCTCCAGTGACTGAAGTTTAATGAACTCCACATACCTGACCAGTGCTCTCCAGTCGCCCTTTATATACTCGTCCAAAACCTCCTTCACCCAAAAGGCAATCTGCCCTGAAATTCTTTGCTGCTGCAGCTAATTCACGAAATGTAAATGTATGTGCAGCAATACGATCAGATCCCCCATCCTTAGAAGCCTCCTTCTTAACATCTGGTGCGGAGGTCAGCTTTTCTACTGTAACCAGGAAACAGAATATTGAACTAAGACTTCTAAAGTTATACATGCCACTACCACGTCAGACCAAGTCAATCTTGTAGTCATGCATCAAGACTGCCTAACCATAGAAGCAAGAATCAAGATTTTAATTTTTTTTTTTTCTGATCAGTTACGTCAGTACCCTGTAAGCATCTTCAAACAACATTCAAGGCATGAACACTAAACTAAGTGGAATTCAATAGATTTTTTCCAGCAACCCAACCTAAATTCTACAAGCCAACAAAGAACATGTCTTAATTTCAATCAAGACAAAATCTAATTTGACTTAATTTTTAATTGATAATGTTCCTTAACCTACGATCCACCAATCAGAATTTACTCAGAATAATCAGAGAAATGAAAACTGGAAGCAATAAGAGGTAGAAGATTAAAATCAATCAATTTATGATTTTTTATGACAAATATCAAAGTATAAAACTAAGTCTTGAGATTTAAATGCTTTTTAATAACAGAGGCCCATTATGTAAACTGACACGCAAAAGGTAAGAAATTTGATCTGGAAACAATCTTCAACTGATATCCCCCTGATGAAAATCCCATGAATCCATCTAATTCTAATCATTAAAAACATTAAAATATCTCAAACCTGAAATTAACAGAGCAGGTTTTCTTTTAACCCACGATTGAGCATGAATCAATGAGCAACACTTTCTTAATCATCTCCCCAACACCCACATCAGATCACATAACACAAACCCAGAAAAATTTAATTTCAGCAAAAGCAATTGGAAATGACATAAACTCATCCATCTTCAACTTCCCCATATTCGTACTTTTAAACATGGGATTGCCCAGAAAAATGAATTAAGAACGATAACGATGTGTTTGAAATGATGTTTCCAGAATACTTTACCTGAAGTTGACGCGATCTCATCATCAGGCTTCTTGGTCTGCTTGTTCTTGGCATTTCCGGATGAATTTGAACCACAAGGAAAGCAACCCATGAACAATTTCCTCTCCCTTTACCTCGAGGAGTCCGAGAATCACTAGAGAAAGAAGAAAAGCTGACCAAACAGACGAAGTTTGGGAGAGAGAGGGGGAAGGAGTGTTAGAGAGAGAAAGAGAGACTGCGTGTGTAAAAGGTGAAATTCGGACAACAAAGGCAGGGCTATTTGGGTATATATCTTTTTTTTATTTGCAGTTATGCCCCCGTTTCATTTCATATTTCTAAATATCACAGCGGTAGGTATGACCGTATAATCCTTCAAGTATCAAATTAGTCCTTCGGTATAAAAATAGAGATGAGTAAATTTAATTTAAAAATATATGTTTCGCATGTAATTAGAGGAATGTAAGTTTTTGAAACTTTAACATCAATTTTTAGCCAAATTTTCTAAAAATTTAAGGGGTTATTTTGAAGTTTTAAGTATTATATTAATTATTAAATTTTGAAATAAATTTGAAAATTAAGAGATTAACTTTTGATTTGTCTTTAAAGAAAAAAAAAAAAACTGGATGTGAGGTCAATAAGATCAAAAATAAATTATTTACCAATTAATTTTAACCCTTGAATGGACAATATTTTTTAACATAATAGTAGTATTATTTACTCTTTTCCCCTTTGTATGGGAAACATACTATTAATATATCTTATTTTAAATTGCATATTAAAAACTAATTTCTTTTATTTTTTAACTTACTCTAACCTTAAAAAAAAAAATTTAACTAACCTTAACCACATGTCATATTATTAAATTCAAAATCTAATACATTCTAGTAAGAGAAACCTGGCCATTTAAATTATGGGAAAATGATATTGATACTCCTTTGATTTCATCAGTACTTAAAAAAAAAAAAAAGTGTTGTACAAAAATTTTCTATTTGAAAAAAAAAAAAGTTTTAGGGAGCAATTCATAAATAAACCAAAGTATAAAACTATTAGTTCAAAAATCAGTTTTGCTTTTGCCAGCGGAAAATTCCTTTATTACAGACCAAGTACGTTATCAATCAACGGTCGTTTGCGGTATTTGGTTTCCTTGTCCGTAAAGGCAATCCTATCCTCATTCATTCATGAAAAGTGAAAAAGACAATCCTATCCTCAAAAACACGAATCATCCATACCCTAAGTAGTATGTACAGTTGTGGCCAAATTAGGAATTCAACGACTCTGAGCCAACTTTCCTTAGAAAATGTTTTGTCCCAACTCATGAAGACCCAAACCACCAAGTCTTCGTACTAAAAGGTTAAAATTAAGATGTTTCTTTCTTTCTTTCTTTTCTTTTTTTTCTTTTGATTTTAATTTCAATTAAATCACCTTATACATGTGTAAGAAACAAAATTTTACATTCAAATTATTAGTACGATTATAGAAATAATAAAGATTTTTGGAGTATAAGATTTCATATTAGAAATCTGGGTACTAAAATTTTGCAAATAAGTTATGGGTGCATTAAAAAAACATTAGAAGTAAGTTATTCTTATTACATAGCTCATTATTAGTGCTAAAAAGACTAAATTTTTGGGAGATTTAAAGTTTAAATTTCATATTTCAATTACTGTTGAATTAAAGTATAAAAAGGGTTGAAGCTTAAAACCTTTGTACACTTTCTACAATCTCTTACCTAATTAAAAGGTAGAGGAAGATAGTAAGGTGGGGCAGTTGGGAAAAAGGTCATTATTGGGTGACAGTATTGAGTAAAGTTAGATTTATTTGTTTATTATGCAATCTACTTTAACTTGAAGAGTGAGACATAATTGTATTTTAGATAGTAAAATGTGAAAATTTTATTTTTATTATTTTTATTTATAATTTTTACCTTATTATTAAATAAATATATGAATGATATTATAAATTTCAATAAAAATAATTATTAAAAGAATATACACATAAAATATATAAAGACCTTATTTATATAATTTTTAGTTATAGTTTTTATAAATTATTAAATAAATATATAAAATAACATCACAAATACTAATAAAATTAAAAAAAATAATTATTAAATAAAATGTCAAATTATATAAAAAATTTTATACATAAAATATCATCACTTAATCAATTTCCTTTCAATTTCCAACTTTTGACTCGGTCAAAATTTTCATAACTTCACAAGGCATGCTTACTGATTGTTGTACCATGTGACATGGCAAGCCTACTGGAAGCCACGTCATAAAAGGTTTACGAGAAAAATAAGAAGCAAATGACCAAGCCCAATCCAAACGCATCTTGTTTGGCACATAAACAGCCTAATATTTAGCCCAAATTAAAGCCCATACCACCCTGGCCGGCGTCAACTTCCCTCAAGTTAACCCAAAAAAAGAAAAAAAAAGGCCCTGTTCTCAAGCCCCGCCGTGGCTTCGTATCTACTGGACGAAACCCTGGGACTGGACTACCAGACCGACCGGTGGCAGCCTCCCGGGCGAGAGTGGTGGCAATACAAGACAGCGTCCAGACCAGTGGCTGCTCTGTTCTTCACCGTTGTCCTCTTCATCACCTTCGCGCAACCTTTTTCTCACTACGGTCGCATCCTCCGCAAACTCGTAACTTTCTTCCCTATTCTAGGTTGGACGACTAGTTTATGGTGTAATTTAAGGACATTTTCAATACTGTATTGGGAAATTGAGTGTTATTGCTCCTAGGAATTATTGTAAATGCAGCGTGTTCTTTGCTATTTTCTTCGTAGAACATTGTTCTTATTGCTGGTAAGATTTTCAAGAATTTGAGATAATAATATTTGGATATGTTGTTGTATCGAAACAGGGTTGCAATTTTGCTGCACAAAGAGATAACAATAGATTATTTTTCTTTAACATGACTACACTGCAGTGTTCAGGTGAGAATCAGGTAAAATTTGTTCAGTATCTTTATTGGTTTGTATAACTTTTCTAACATAGGTAAAAGAAATGTTTTGCAATAGCTGGTAGATTATTTGAGGCTAATCTCATATGGAAGCTCTTTACTTGTTTCATGACTAGATGGGGATGAAAGAAATTCTCCTGGAAGCGGA